CCTCCACTGCAATTGGTCCCCACCAGGACAGAACCAGCCTGTTCTGTCTAGTAAAATTTTATTGTGTTGCTTTCCAAAATAACAATTCCTGTCCTGGCACTTGTGAAGCCAGGAAGGCACACAGGCAAGGAAAAACATGCCTACAACTCATTAAGGCTACAAGAATAGTTTCATGAAAGGATCTGACAGTGCAGCACGGTTTGGCATTCCAGTTTTAGTCCACTAATTGTTCTTTTAAGATGAAGAACCACCACCCCAACACAGACTGTTTCCTTAAGAAAGCACAAAGATGAAACTGGAAATAAAAACCACTGTTATTATCTGTACAGTTGCCCCCATTTCTTCCCTTTGTTTTCCCCCCAGTGACCTTCTCAAATCTTTTTTTATTGTCAGTTGTGCTCCCTTAAATCCAGCCGGAAAGGAGGGAGAAGATTGACGAAAAGCAGTCAAACCATCCCATCCTCTGGTGTTACAAGCTGATCGTATTGAGTTGTCGGTACTTCCTACGCTGGTTCAGTCCCTGCAGAAAACACTCTGTCACCGAAATGACAAACGGAAATGCACCTCTTCACTCCTTGAACTGTGAAAGAAATAAAGAGTTTCTATTCAGAATATGGGCAGGAATTTGCTGTAGGATGATGAGCTTCCCACAATGGCTTCTGTTTCTGGTTACCGAAGCCAAGTGGTGACTGGAGAGACTCATCGGCCTCTTACTGGTGCCTGAATCATAGAATCAACTAGGTTGGAAAAGACCTAGGTAGTGTTAAGGCCTTTTTCAACTCCAACTATTCTGTGTTTCTGTGATCCTAAGTCCAACCTTTATGCCAGCACTGCCAGCACCACCACTAAACCATGTCCCTAAGGGCCTCATCTACATGGTTTGTGAGACCCGAGCTGTCATTGCAGAGAACAGCAGCCCCTGCCCAGACACCTGACTGCACAAGTCTGTCACCTTTGTTTCTCCCTCTAACAAGCAGGCCCTACCATGGGAAAAGACAGAACTCGGAGGCTCAAAGCCTCCCTCTTTAACCCGTGCCTGAACTCCGCATCACCCTGCACAGCGGCTGAAGGCAGCCCTGCGGTCCTCTCGTTAAGAGGCACCCAGATGGCTCCCAGCTGCTGCCTCAGGCCTTGCTTTGAAGCCTCATCGGGCTGCTGTACCTCACACACCGGCTGCTCCGACGTTCCATGCCCGTGGCCTCAGCAGTGTTACGGTTCCACCTTCCCCTCTCCGCTCCCGCGCAGACAAACCCCGCGCTGCCGGCGCCGCCATTTATAGCCGCCTGTCACGTGAGCGCAGCGCGGCGGGGTGTTGCCATGGTTACACGCGGGACCAGGCTTGCGGCGCGGAGGGATCGCGGTGGGGTCCTCGCAGCCCCGCGGAGGCCCGGGGGGGATTTCAGCGGTGAGGAGGAAGGGATAAGGAGCCTGTGTGGGGAGGGGGCAAGTGAGAGGGTCGCGTTGGGACGGGTATGGTCAAGGTAGAGAACAAAAGGGTCTAAACCACTAAATAATTGATCCCATCCGGTGGGTCCAGAGGGGGATCGGTGGGTCTGGGCCTGTCCTGAGAGGCACCCACATGGAAAAGCATCCACTGGTAAAGCTGTGCTCACAGCAGAGCTGTTCAAGGGCTTAACTGAGCCTTCAGGGGACTGGGTTACCCTTTCAGAAAGCACTCACTGAGAACTTCTGGTGTTTTATTTATTGGACTTTGTTGCGCCTGGTAGGGCTCCCATCGCAGCAGGTGCCAGTGCTGCCCCTTCAAGAGCACCCAGATGTCCTGCTCAGACACCTAACAGTTGAGGGGAGAGGAATACTGGCCCAGAAGCACAAGTAAGCCCCTGTGAAACACTCTGACCTTCAGGACACTGTGTATCAAAAGGGTCTGCTGTTTTAGCTGAGAAATGCTGCAAAGAGAAGGAAGTAAGTGATTATATTTTCCAGGCTTATTAATTCACTTATGAATGGTAAAGAATTGCTACATCTTCTTTCTGACCTCCCTTTCTCTCACGGCCTTGCAAGCCCAGGGAGAGGTCTGTGTTTGAGGATGGGAGAAAATGTTTCTAAGGTGGTTGCAAATGAACTCTTTCATACAAATTAAAAAAGGAGGGCAGGCATCTCCCATTTAATTTCCTCTGTTTGCGTTGAGATAAGTCTATCCTTCTCTTGTTACATCCTGCAACAATGGAAGTCCCAGTCTGTGATTTCTTCTTCCGTCATTCTGCTGGATAAGGAGGAAGGAACCTGACATGTCCTTGGCTCTTTGCGCAGGTTGATGAGGCAGGGTCACCCATGTAGAGTTAAGAGCAGCTCCAGCCTGTGTAAGTCCTTTTAGCAACCACCATCCAGAAGGGCTGAAAAAAGGGTGGGTCAGGGACAGCCCATTTCACACACTTAAAGGTTAGTGCATAGTTACTGCACATTGATGCTGGAGGCACAAGCTCCTGTTTAGGCTGTGCATCTCCACAGCATCTGGACTTGCAGGCGGTGACAAGAATGCACCGTCAGGCTGGTGGCACTGACAGCCTTTGTGCTGTCTTCATTCTGTGCACACTTTGTATGCCTGTCTTATTCTGCTGAAAAGAGTTCTATTTTAAAAGGGGGGAAATGGGAAAGAAAAGCATAGTGTCACTGCGCCCTAACAGTGCCATTGAGTCCCTAACTCATTCCCCAGCTGTTTGCTCCGAGGCACTGGGGAGTTTCAAATAGCTGGAAGCAAGAGTGCAGAACAGTGGTATATACATTTTGTAAATGAGCTCTGAGCAGTGTCCTTGTTTCAGGAACAGTGAAGTCAATAACAGCTTACAATCTACCTCCTTGTGCAGGTTGTTGTAATGGAATCATAATAAAAGTGTTCCTGGATTTTCACAAGTTCAAGCCCTAAGGAGAAGGGAAATTATGTATCTACTTTGCCTTCCGGTCACTTTTTGTAGCTGTTATTGTAACTTCTCTCAGGGATGAGAAGGAAAGAGCAATGTTGGCATTTTTCAGGCTTAACCGTGCTGTGGTCAGTAGTAATAAGCACATAAATAAGTTGGTACCTGTTTCAGTGGCTTCCAGTTATAGACAGCTTTGCAAATCAATGAATTGGTGATTTGTTGTCTCTGAACACCAGTTTCCTATGCATAAAATGGGACTAAGTATTCTTCCTACAGGATGGGATTTGTGGAGTTGTAGGATTGTGAGGTATTTTGTTATCAAAAGCTCAGTCCCTCCTAGGGAACACATATCTTTTGAGCCTACCTAAAAGCAGATGGCAGTTAGCATCTTCCATCAGATGCACGATGCTTCATCATTGCTGTAGCTAACCCCATCACTGCCACCGCTGGGTGTGTTTGACCCGGAGCAGTTGCAAGAAAGTCATGGAAACACTTGATCAGCCAGAGTAATTTCTACAGCAGCTATTGCCTTCACCCCTATTGCCTTGTAAGGAACTTTTGACTGCTGACTTGAAGGTGTAGATGATGCCAGAGGGAGTTGGAAGGAAGAAGATAGATAGTAAGTAGGAAAGAAGAACCATCTGAAGAGATCAAGGCTAAAGAGAAATGCAGCTTGCTGCAATCATCAGGCAGAGCAAACGGTGATTGGTTCAAAGCAAGAAGAGCCGAGGCAAAAAAGCTGGTACATATGCAGCTGCTTCAGTTCCAAGTGGTGTGCTCTGCACATGCTGCTGGAGCTCCAGCTTGTGTGACAGGACCATTCATCTGCAGGCAAAAGGGCTGTTGTGTTATCTCCTCCAAGATGATCTTGTTTTCATTTTTATCTTGCGTGTGTTGTCATCTCCTGCTTTGTAGTGCTACAGACTTGTCTTTGCTACAAGCATGAGGCTGCACTCTGCAGTGTGTGGTAATTAAGTCCTTTGAGGGTCATGCATATTTTAATTATTACTTGTTTTATTGTCAAAAGCTTGCCCACATGAGATGCAGCCTTGCATTCCATGTGGGACTGAAATAAGGGTCAACACATTCCTTCAGAACCCAGAATATTAAACAGACATAAATTTGTTTTGAGCTTTGCACATTTGAGACGAGCATAAATCAAGATGTATAATGGTGAAAAAATGTTCTCCATATGTTGAGAAGTTGAACAGAGACACTAACTATGAGTGACAAAAAGTGGTGGCTGCACCAGAAAATGATTAAATGATTTGTTTAGCATTTATGTAATGTATGAATGCACCTTGCCTGTGTTAAAGCACAGCAATGATTGGGTTTCCACCAGCAAGGGCTGTGAATTTTAGCTGTATTCCCTTTTGGGATTCTGAAGTTCTCAAGTTCTGCCTTACACAACAGCAAAGTCTAAATGCAGACCAGTTTTTCATCCATGAAATGGAAGTTAAATAAGGCTTGACCGAAGTAGACAAAACAAGAAGATACGTAGACTAACTGGAAACATCAAGATTTGAAAATTACCTGATAGGAAAAGGGAGGGAAGGGGGATCAAAGACGTCCTAGGGAATGAAACATTCCTTCACAGCGCTTCCTGTTCTCTCTGTTATGCTAACCAAGGTAGGATTAGGTTTCAGCTGCCAAAAGAAATAACATTTGTAGATTTTTTTGGTCTGGGTAAGTGGGATAGAAAGATTTAAGACAGCTTTTTCCAAACTATTTGCTTTTTGTCAAGCACTCAAGTCTAGTTATTGTTATTAATTTGTATTACAGAACTACCAAACTGAGGCTGGATTTCCATTGTATTAGGTGCTGTGCAAATATCCAGAGACTGGTTTTACCTCAAAGGGCCCATAGTCTAAATAGACCAGACAGACAAAGGGCATTTTGCCCTAAGTTTATAGCTGCTTAGCAGCTGAGCTGGGAATTATCTCTCCTGAGTCATAGCCTGGTACCTCAGCCACTGGAGCTCACTTGTGGAGAACAGAGCTGTCATTAAAAGAAATGAGGCTGCCACCTTGTCTCCACACACAAGATAATGATTGATGCAGCAACCCCAAGATTAACGTGAGTTCGCATAACTGACTCCTGTTGATGGCTGGGTGTGTGAGCTAGAGAAACCTCACGCCACCTCTCACCAACTCATTCCTCCATGTAGTCCCTATGGTTCGCTTTTGGTTTGGTTTTCTGTAACGGGTTCATTTCATAGATGAGGTTCAGAAATGTGTCGGGTCTCTGTGCAGGGATGACCTTCCATGGTACAAAAGCAAATTCAGATGGCCCAACTTCATCTTGAAGTGCTTGGTTAATCTTCAAGTGCCTAAATGAACAGCCTGAACATACTGTTGAGAAAAGTGACAGGCAGTACCTAGTACACTTTCTGGAAGGTCCTGAGCTTCTGAGCAGGGACAGAGGCTGCACTCCACCCTCACCTTTTTCCAGGTATCTGCCCAGCAGGAGCTGACATGTAATGCTGCCTGCTCTGTGGCTCGATAGAAAAGGAGGCTGCACTTCTGTGTAGGCTTGAAGTCTTTACCTTAGCTTCATGCTAATGCAGAAACAAAAGACCTTCTGTAGGGGAAAAAAACCCCCCTCTGAATAAATAAAATAAAATGTAAGTATAAACTTGAACCTGTTTATTCTAAAACTGTGGGTAATTCCAATTCTAATCCCATGTGTAAATATTTGAAGTGCCATTGTGAAGGGCTTTTCTTACATGGGAGAATTTCCTGCTGCTTGTTTTTTAAATCCCAGCCTACATGTGCACAGGTGAGTTCAGCTTTCTGCTGTGGGTGTCTGAGCTGCAGACAGGGAAGTGCCTGTGCGAGCAGCACATTGGCTGTCACCCGTTTCTCAAGATGCCAGCAGTGAGCAAAGCAGACCCTCTGAGTTTGCTCACAAGAACAAACTGGAGTAAATGTTTAACTTGAGTCTTTGGAGTCGACAGCTTGTACCTTTCTTTATTATTAACCCAACTCCTGTTTTTCTTTACAGTTGCACAGCTGCTAGCACACAAGAAACAAAGGACCCTTGAAATAACTTCCTCATGGAGGCATGAGCAAAGGTAAAGTACTTTTTTGTATTGTTTTCATACCTATACATGGGAAAGCAGTTGCACGTTTCTGTGCTCTGCATTTCTGTTAGGGCAGAACAACCTGTCAATAACAAGCATTGTTTAATCGTGTCTTCTTAAAACTAAATCACTAGGTACATCCAGCTGATTTCATTCTAGTTTGACACAAACTGAAAAAGTATCTCTGTACTTAGTGTAAGAGTGTGCACGGTGAATTTCTTCATTCACATACCGATATACACACACAAACACAAACACACACACATACACTGGTTTCCACTACTTTTTCCCTAACACCAGTAGCCTTAACTTTGTAACTATTGTTTTCCTCCTGATTGTTTTCTGTCCTGCTCAAGTCTGTAAAGGTCTGCCTCTTCTTCTCCCTGTGGAGAGGCGTGACTGCACTATGAAGATCTGAATTTACATCAGTCCTTTCATGAAGCTCACACAAACCAGCTGTGCCATTTGTTTTGCATTCAGCCTTCACCCTTGATTGTTTTCTCTGCTCTTGGGTAAGCTGTGAGCTCTAGAAGAAAGCTTTGTGGTGAGGCAGGCACCCATCAGCACAGTACAAAATAACGAGGACTCTTGTCTGACCATTATTCCATTTACTATGCCAATATGGTGTGAATACTTGTTTTAACGTAACATTAAATACCTGTGTGTGCTTTGTGATGGCTCAAAATTGACTTGCAGGGAGAAGGATTCACTTACTCAAACCTTTTTTTGTATTTGCTGTGACATAAATTTACATGGAAAACAATATAATTAAACTTTAGCTAAAACAATGCATCAAAGGCAATTAGGGTGAAGATCTAGATTGGAAGATAAAGCAAGTATTTACAGACATTCAAAAAGTAGCTGTTCATTGTGGTGCATATTATATAAATATTATATAAACATGGGTTTAGAAACAATAATATTTTAATAGAAATGAGATTTATAGGCAAAGTAAAAGAAGAACCAAATTTTCCCTGTTTCCAGCTGCTCAGAATACCATTTTACTCCATGAGTAGATCCTATAAGTCAGGTGTGATGTCCATCTAAGCAGACAATGACTCAGCTCCAGTATGTTCTTTGGGAAGACCTCAGTGCCATCTCCTCTCTGTACTTCTGTGGCTGTGCTGCCCTCTGAGGATGAGCATGTCCAATATTGAGTGCCATTGGCAAGAAGATTTCTACAGCACTGCAGCTACACACTGTTTGTGTTTTGATTCATATTACAGCAGCATTTGCAATATGGTATGTGCTGCCTTCAGAGTAAAACAGTTCCTTTACATTATCCTAGAGCTGTATTGGCAATCAGACTATTTGCCCTGCAAATACTTAGGAATCTGTGAGCAAAGGCTTGCAGGCACATTATGAAATATGAAAGTGGCATGATCGCTAAGTGCTGTGAAAATGCACCATCTTCATAGTTCCTGAAAAGGAGCTATAAATAGCTGTTTTGGAGCAGTTCACACATCTCTGATTCTTGTAAGCCGATTAGATTAGGAAAAACGAGTCTGCTATTCTGTATTTTGATCTGATCCAGCTGTTTATTTAGCTCTAAAGATCATTGGCACCCTAAGCGAGGGATGATGATGATGTGGCTACTGGGTATTTCCAAACCGTCTGTCACTAACAGCTAGATTTGTCATTTCACTCCCACTGGAGAATACTGAAATGAATGAGGGTATTGGTAGTATGTATTGGAAGGATGTCAGAACACAGGCCCAAGTGACTACAGGAGTCTGAATCATAAGATGGAAAAGGTAAATGAGGAGTGGCATGAATTTCAGGAGACTGACACCTTGGCTATGAAGTAAGTGGGAAGTTGGTTGTGAGCCTGTTTCTATAATGGCCAAATTCAGGTTTTAGCAGTTTGCTCAAAGATGAAGAGATAACTGAGCAAAGAAAACACAAACCTGTTCCTCTAGGAGAATGGGAGAATTGGCAAGTTGATAAAGAACACTGTGTCTGCTCATAGGTGACCTAGGTCAGCAGAGGATGAATTTGCCTTCTCTTTTGTCAGTTTAATGTTTGTTAAGGGTCCCTGGTTTTCTGTTTCCTGAGCTTTTTTTCCCCAATCTGGCAATTCTACAAAGCATATGTTGGACTTTAAACGTATTTGCCTGGCTTGTTCTGGGTGCTACGAAATGCAAATACAGACGCTGGCATCAAAAGGGGATGGAGTGCTTTGAAGATGAAGGGCTTGACAAAGAGCCAAGGAGCCAATGGACCAGTGAGAACTGGAATTCTCGTGGGACTAAAGGACACTATGGCTGTTGGTGAAAGCAAACACATCAGAAAGGAAACAGGGAAGCTCTTTATCGCTTTTTCTTGGCTAATTGCTTAGTCCAAGAGAGCTGCTCAGCTGAAGTGGTTAATGAAAAAGTGGATAAGGAACTTACCTGAGGCTTTTCCAGATGAGAAGGTGGGAAATGAGAAATGGATAAATTCTGTATTGCCTCTGTTAAAAGCAGGCAAGCTTCTTGTGCCTGAGTTCACTTTTGATTCTGCTGCTGTGACAGCACCAGCAGCAAGAATCTCAGCCTGAGAGGACTTGAGCCTTGTAGGAGTTTGGGTCGTTGGTTGGTTGGGTGTTAGTTTGGGGGTTTGCTTGGTTGTTTTGTTGGGGTTATTTTTAGTGCAATGCTAGAAGCCACTTCCAAAACATTCTTGTGATAGTGAAGGATAGGATAAGATAGGATAGGATAGGATAGGATAGGATAGGATAGGATAGGATAGGATAGGATAGGATAGGATAGGTGAGGTGCCACCTTATAGTGCTTCAGAGGCATACAAACAGAAAGCAGAAAACCACTAGTTTCTAGCACCACTGCCCCATCCAGGCTGAGTGACATTGTTCTAAGAAAAAATAGATTAGACTTTGGGGGGGTAAAAAAGTACAAAGCAGTGACTGCTTTTTGTGCCTCACTCCAGCTCTGAATGTGCTTCTCATCTCCTGTGTAACCCCACAGTAAAAAGCCTCACTGGCTGCAGCAATGTGCAGTGTCAAGTGTTAAAATGCAGCGGTAAGCATAGAAATAACAGTAACACTACCCATGATATAATCAGGGTTTCTTTTTCAGAATCTAATGATGTTAAAATAAATGGAATTATGTTGCTTTTCATTTTTTTTTTAAACCAGTAAATTCCTAAAGAGGATTTGCCCCATTTCTACAATGTGCTTAAGGTCTTAGAGCGCACGATCAACTGCAGGTTTATTAGGGGCATGAGGGGTTGGCATACGGCATTCTCTGCTTAAAGTTGCTTAGAGCCTTTTCATTCTGGTCAAGGAGGATGGTTTTTTCATCTTAATCATTATTTCTAAGTCCATATGGGGCCTGGCATTTCCCAGAGCTTTTTCTTATTGCACAGAAACAGTGATGAACACTCTTTACTCTAAAGAGCAAGGAAAACTGGTGTTCTGGATAGGACCTAGAAAACATGAACTGGAGAAAATACCACACAAGCATCTTCAGTGGGAGGATTTTTCCTTCTTTTTATTGACATGGTCAGTGAGAATCCTTCCAGTGAGTTCAGTGGATGTTAGATCAAATCACAGTGTCTCTCTAACTCTCCCCCTCTGCTGGCAATTCAGTTCCTGCTGTGCTGCTGGAGCTGCACAGCAGCTCTGAGCTCTGCAAAAGAGTCTTTTAAGAAGTCGTATAGCAGCATTCCTCATTTGAGTTAAAGCTTGGAGCACAGGAGAAAACTCTGGGGTGGTGGAAGGCAGGACAAGTATTAGATGCTAGGGAAGGACAGGCAGATTCTGCAGCCTGGACAATGCTTTGTGCAGAAAGATCAGGTGGTTGTATCTGAAATGTTTATCCTTTATGTGTGCATGACATGAGAGTGGTTTGTGTGACAGGGATCTTTTCCTACTCAGGTTTCCCAGCCCTTCTTCATTCTTAATCTGGTCTGCACGATTCTTTGCTTTGTTCTGCACAAAGGCATGAAAGTTACCAAATGTCAATGTTGGACTCTATAGGAGGAAGAGAAATCCAGTCCTTTAGGTAAACTTTTCCTTCAGTGTGAGAAGTTCCCTCTCGCAGTAGCAGCAGCAGCAGCAACATTTCTTTTCAGTGTTTCTTCTGGCCTGCTGTGAGTATATTTTAAATATGTATCACAGAAAACTGGGCTTCTGGGGGGGTCCTGCTTTTGAACAGAAACTGAAAATTCTGTCTTTGGTGGAAAAACTCTGGCCTGAAAATAAGTGTAACAAGTATTTGTGGTGTCATGGGAGGCCGTTAGCTCCCCAGGTATCTGCTCAGTTCCAAAGGCAGCTGATTCCTCTTCCAGAACCAACCTGAAGTGATGAACTAGTGCACTGGGAGCTGGATTTATTTAGGTGTTGGGCAGATCATTTTGCAATAGTGGTGTTTGAAACAGTCTCAGGCAAAAATGAAATGGCTAATGTCGATGGAGATGTATGTCTGAGACAAAAGGAGCTCTAACCTTCAGTAACCCAAAGGAGAGTTCTATCTAAATTGCCAATGGGATCCCACAGCTTGCACGGGTGCTCAGTTTTCTGATGTAATTCTATGTGCAGAATTATTGTTTTGAGGAGAGTGCACAATGAATATTTTACTGAAAATAAGTCTTAGATAATATTTTATGTTAACTCAGAGAAAAAAAAAGACCCTTTTCTCTGTTCTTTTAGTGCTGATGAATGGTTCTAGTGACACATTCCGAAAAGGGTTTGCTGGTTTGGGGTGCAGGCACATTTTCAATACTTGGGCACTTTTCCTTTGCCTTTTGCTCTTGGCTCAAATTCAGAAAACCCTCTCAGGTTAATTTATTTTCCAGTACGAAACCATGTGGAACCTAAAGTGAGAGACAGGGATTTGCCTCTTCTCTTTCTGCTGCAGGATGAGACAGCCGTGCCGGGTTGGAGCAGGCAGGGCACGGCAGACCCCGACCCGCTAGCTGCTCTCCGGTGGGAGGGTTGAGGTCCCAGCGGGATCAGCCGAGGGCTGCAGCAGGGTCCTATCGCCCTCCCGTTA